TGATGTCAAGCAAAGAGGCACTGAGTCTGAAGGTAGGCCTTGAAATACATCCACAGGTACGACTCAAATGATGTCAATTAGCCTATCAGAAGCTTCTAAAGCCATGACATCATTTTCTGTAATTTTCCAAGCTGTTTAAAGGCACAGTCAACTTAGTGTATGTAAACTTCTGACCCACTGGAATTGTGATACAGTGAATTATAAGTGAATTATCTGTCTGTAAACAATTGTTGGAAAAATTACTTGTGTCATGCACAAACTAGATGTCCTAACCGACTTGCCAAAACTATAATTTGTTAACAAGAAATGTGTGGAGTGGTTGAAAAACGAGTTTTAATGACTCCAACCTAAGTGTATGTAAACTTCCGACTTCTACTGTATGCACGCACCACTTTTCCGTTATTTATTTTTTTGAATATTTTTTAACAAGTTATTTTTTTCATTTCACTTCAACAATTTGGACTATTTTGTGTATGTCCATTACATGAAATCCAAATAAAAATCAATTTAAATTACAGGTTGTAATGCAACAAAATAGGAAAAACTCCAAGGGGGATGAATACACTGTGTGTGTGTGTGTGTGTGTATATATATATATATATATATATATATATATAATCTGTCTCTGCACCACGTGCTCTCACTACTGGTGTCCCCCAGGGCTCAGTTCTAGGCCCTCTCCTATTCTCTCTATACACCAAGTCACTTGGCTCTGTCATATCCTCACATGGTCTCTCCTATCATTGGTACGCAGACGACACACAATTAATTTTCTCCTTTCCACCTTCTGATAACCAGGTGGCGAATCGCATCTCTGCATGTCTGGCAGACATATCAGTGTGGATGTCGGATCACCACCTCAAGCTGAACCTCGGCAAGACGGAGCTGCTCTTTGCTGCTCTGGCACACCAATGGTGTAACAAGATCCCCCACGACGCCAGGACAGCGGAGTCACTGACCACCTTCCGGAGACACTTGAAACCCTACCTCTTTAAGGAATATCTGGAATAGTATAAAGTAATCCTTCTACCCCCCCCCCCCCCCCCCCCATAAAAAAATAATTAAAAAAACTGGTTGTCCCACTGGCTATCATAAATTGAATGCACCAATTTGTAAGTTGCTCTGGATAAGAGCGTCTGCTAAATTATGTAAATGTAAATATATATATATATATATATATAACCGTTCAAAAGTTTGGGGTTACTTAGAAATGTCCTTGTTTTCCATGAAAACATACATGAAATGAGTTTGAATAGGAAATATAGCAAAATGAATAGTAAATGTAGTCATTGACAAGGTTAGAAATAAGGATTTTTAATTGAAATAATAATTGTGTCCTTCAAACTTTGCTTTCGTCAAAGAATCCTCCATTTGCAGCAATTACAGCCTTGCAGACCTTTGGCATTCTAGTTGTCAATCTGTTGAGGTAATCTGAAGAGATTTCACCCCATTCTTCCTGAAGCACCTCCCACAAGTTGGATTGGCTTGATGGGGACTTCTTACGTACCATACGGTGAAGCTGCTCCCACAACAGCTCAATAGGGTTGAGATCCGGTGACTGTGCTGGCCACTCCATTATAGACAGAATACCAGCTGACTGCTTCTTCCCTAAATAGTTATTGCATAGTTTGGAGCTGTGCTTTGGGTCATTGTCCTGTTGTAGGAGGAAATTGGCTCCAATCAAGCGCCGTCCACAGGGTATGGCATGGCGTTGCTAAATGGAGTGATAGCCTTCCTTCTTCAAGATCCCTTTTACCCTGTACAAATCTCCCACTTTACCACCACCAAAGCACCCCCAGACCATCACATTGCCTCCACCATGCTATACAGATGGCATCAAGCACTCCTCCATCATCTTTTCATTTGGTCTGCGTCTCACAAATGTTACGCTTTGTGATCCGAACACCTCAAACTTCGATTCGTCTGTCCATAAAACTTTTTTCCAATCTTCCTCTGTCCAGTGTCTGAGTTCTTTTCCCCATCTTAATCTTTTCTTTTTATTGGCCAGTCTGAGATATGGCTTTTTCTTTGCAACTCTGCCTAGAAGGTCAGCATCCCGGAGTCGCCTCTTCACTGTTGACGTTGAGACTGGTGTTTTGCGGGGTACTATTTAATGAAGCTGCCAGTTGAGGACCTGTGAGGCATCTGTTTCTCAAACTAGACACTAATGTATTTGTCCTCTTGCTCAGTTGTGCACCGGGGCCTCCCACTCCTCTTTCTATTCTGGTTAGAGACAGTTTGCGCTGTTCTGTGAAGGGAGTAGTACACAGCGTTGTACGAGATCTTCAGTTTCTTGGCAATTTCTCGCATGGAATAGCCTTCATTTCTCAGAACAAGAATAGACTGACAAATTTCAGAAGAAAGTTATTTGTTTCTGGCCATTTTGATCCTGTAATCGAACCCACAATTGCTGATGCTCCAGATACTCAACTAGTCTCAAGAAGGCCAGTTTTATTGCTTCTTTAATCAGCACAACAGTTTTCAGCTGTACTAACATAATTGCAAAAGGGTTTTCTAATGATCAATTAGCCTTTTAAAATGATAAACTTGGATTAGCAAACACAACGTGCCATTGGAACACAGGACTGATGGTTGCTGATAATGGGCCTCTGTACGCCTATGTAGATACTCCATTAAATATCTGCCGTTTCCAGCTAAAATAGCCATTTACAACATTAACAATGTCTACACTGTATTTCTGATCAATTTGATGCTATTTTAAATGGACAAAAAATTGCTTTTCTTTCGAAAACATGGACATTTCTAAGTGACCCCAAACTTTTGAACGGTAGTGTATATATTTAAATAGTGTATACAGTACCAGTTAAAGGTTTGGACACACCTACTCATTCCAGGGTTTTTCTTTATTTTTACTATTTTCTACATTGTAGAATATTAGTGAAGACATCAGAACTATGAACTAACACATATGGAATCATGTAGTAAGCAAAGAAATGTTAAACAAATCAAAATATTTTTGAGATTTGAGATTCTTCAAATAGCCACCCTTTGCCTTGATGACAGCTTTACACACTCTTGGCATTCTCTCAACCAGCTTCATGAGGTAGTCACCTGGAATGCATTTCAATTAACAGGTGTGCCTTGTTAATTTGTGGAATTTATTTCCTTCTTAATGTGTTTGAGCCAATCAGTTGTGTTGTGACAAGGTAGGGGTGGTATACAGAAGATAGCCCTATTTGGTAAAAGACCAAGTCCATATTATGGCAAGAACAGCTCAAATAAGCAAAGAGAAACGACAGTCCATCATTACTTTAAGACATGAAGGTCAGTAAATCCGGAAAATTTCAAAAACGTTGAAAGTTTCTTCAAGTGCAGTTGCTAAAACCATCAAGCGCTATGATGAAACTGGCTCTCATGAGGACCGCCACAGGAAAGGAAGACCCAGAGTTACCTCTACTGCAGAGGATAAGTTCATTAGATTTACCAGCCTCAGAAATTGCAGCCCAAATAAATTCTTCATGATTCCCACTGCAATTACAACATGTCACATTTTCTTCACTTTTATAACACATAATATGATATTTTCCACATCTTGTCCATCTCGGCTTCTCCCTTCTGTAAACACTTTCCTAAAGCGTTAATGTTCACACTGCATTGTTCTTGGGATAAATGCTCTAACTCTGTAGTTAATATACCCTAACTTCACTTCATTAGGGAGATAAAACAAAAGAGAAAATCTTCACTTTTTCCACATTCACCACTCGATTCATCCGACGTGCTTCAATCACTCCGGGAATATTTTTCATATTTTCTCAATCAACTTCCCACGAAACGCCAGATATAACCCCCTTCAGGGGTGCCCTGTTCTGAAGCGACACACACAACACTTCAAACTTATCAAATCGATTAAGACACAACGCACTTTCCTTCTGATCCGCGGAATCACAAAACATCTAAACAAGTCCGCCTCTCGTGATCCTCACATCCTTCACGTTACCCATCACTCTGTCCACCAGTTTGGATATCTCAAATGGTTTCTTCCAGATCGGTACTCTGCTCAGCTGCTCCTTATTAACAAACCGTACTAGATACGAAGCGTCATTCTCATCACTGTACTCCGTTTTCCATTCTTTTGAACAATACTCCAAATCTCCTTGATTCTACCGCCATTGTATTCTGATCCCACTTCATCATCCTCTTCCGTCGCTCCTCTCAAATATTTGTTTTCGTTTCTCTCCTCCTTCAGGCTTCTTCTTCTGTGGACTTTATATGGCGGTTGGCAACCAACTTTAAGGTGCATCACCACCACCAGCTGGACTGGAGTGTGGACCTCCCTTCATCTTTCGATCTCCCACTGGGTAGATGCTCCTAAGAACCAATGAGGAGATGGGAGAGGCGGGACTTCTGTTTTAGTGCCTGGCTACGCAGACGGTCGATGACGCGCACGAGCAGTGTGCAATGATTGAATAACATATATGTGTAAATGTATTTTGCAACGCGGGCGGTATTTCAGTCAGCCTGTAATGCGAGCGGTGTGGTCAGCATGTTAAGAGCAGGGTTTCCCAAACTCGGTCCTCTGGACCTCAGGTGGTGCACGTTTTTTTATATTTTTGATCTAGCACTACACAGCTGATTTAAATAATAAACTAATCATCAAGCTTTGATAATTTTAATCAGCTGTGTATTAAAAACCAAAACGTGCACCCCTCCCAAAAACCGAGTTTGGGAAAACGCTTGTTCAGAGCTTGCAAGAAAGGCACATCGCCGTCCTTGCGACATTGACCCTTGACTCCCTGCTCGAAGTGTCTCCGGCTAAACGAAGCGCGCGCCCACCGGATGCCTCCACAAGTTGCGCGACTGCTTTCCTCCAATGAGTGAGTCCAGTGGGCGTGACGTGGGGCGTGGCCTGGAGGGGCGCGCATAAAGACGCCTCTCTCCCGCCCTTTCCTCTCTTCGTGTATAGCGTGCGCTGAGTGTTCTGGTAGCTTCGCGGAGTTGATACAGGTCAAGCCTCAGAACTTCAACCGTCACCTGGAGAGACTGTTCTGGTAGCTTCTCCGAGTTGATACAGGTCAAGCCTCAGAACGTCAACCGTCACCTGGAGAGAAGCTGTGCAGCGCGTCAAATAACCGTGCTTGTCATTTACCAGTCGGTCTCCGCTACTTTACCGTATCTCCACCATGGCTAGCTACCATAAACCCGACGAGAAGACGCTGCAGGGCCTGAAAGACATCGCTAACAAGTTGCGGATCAACTCGGTCAAGGCGACGTGCGCCTCCAACTCCGGGTACGTTTTTAAAAAAGTGGTCAGAATGAATGTTTGGATGTTGCGTGATGTAGCTAGCTTAACTAGTTAGCTAACGTTAGACGTTGAACCCGTCTCGGCCTGCACGGTGTACGTGCGGATTATTTTCACGCAGGCGGTTGTCGTTGGTTTAGCTAGTTAAGTAGATAGTTTCCCCTTCAGGTGTAATTTTGTTTTAGAAGTTAAGTGTTATTTTGACGTGGGTGTACTACGTTACCTAGTTAGCTAAAGGAGCTAGCAAACGTAGAAATCTGCCTTAGTGAGTAACGTTAACTACAAGTAAAACTGGCATCGTTTGAATGACCGTAAATGTGGATGCACGATCAGTCATTACTTTTGATCAACTAGAATCTAGATGACTTATAACTGGCATCATGCCCGTGTTGAATATTTCTCATTGTTGGTATTTCAGTTCTGGCTACATTTTTAGCAACGTTAATACAAGTCACGGAGAGATGTGCGGGTCTCGTGGTTGCCTGCGGTCTTTGATTAAAAGATAGCCCCCTAGTAAAATACTGAATAAAGGAAGAGTGTGTGTGGGTTTAGAAATTCCCTTTGACTCCCACACTCTCTTCTAACGTTGAATTTGCTTAGTCATGGTCTAGCGCTGCTGCTCTAGCTTTTACCCGCAGTACGACAGTGACATTGACCTAAACAAAAAGACTGGGCAGAGGGCTCCTCTCATTGCAGAAGTATTGTGTTATTATTGCAAAACGTCGAACTACCGTTTTTCTTTCTGACCATTATTGCCACAGTTCTTTCTCAACATGACCTTCTGAAAGTGTCTGTAGGGGGTGAAGAAAGGGACACTGTACTAATGGGGTTGGAATGCGTCCCAAACTGCACCCTGTTTAGGCTAGAGCGCAACCTTTGACCACAACTTTTTTATTTTATTTTTCTCAAGTTGCGGGGTCAAATAAAATCCCCCACGGCCTGCCAGTTGGGGAACCCTGGCCTGAACAATTGGAGGAACCAGAAATGCATACTTGGCTCCTCTTCAGTTTATAAGACAGGCCATTTCCTTGTAGAACTTCCTCCTTACTGTCATGATTTCACGCCACAGACAGGTTTGGGTGGTATCCCGAGGTATACGGTATTACTGGAAGTGCACACAAGGGGTGCTAATTTAAAAAAAAAATAAGAAAAGAGGCAGCATGGATCTTGATCCAGGCCAGGCTTGATTGTCTTTTGATGTAACGAAGAAACTTGAGCTAGCCTCTTAGCTATCAAGTTAACAAACCAAATGCATAGCTGGAGCCCTGAGCTGGATATCCATTTATTTGGCACATCATAGAACTATAAGCAGTGGAGTAGCCCCCCGAATTATAGATATATATAATATATTTTAGCGCTATTAAATCATCCCTAAATACCCCGGTATACGGCATATAAGCCTAATACACTGTCCAGGAAAGGGAAGAAGTTTGAAGTATGGATCCCTACCGGTTATCGATAACATACATACATTTCAGTCAGTTGCTCACAGGGAAACGAATAACCTTCCCCTGGTAGAATGGTTGATCTGGTTTATTTAAGACAGTCTTATCACAACAAGCGGGAGTATTTTAGGCCTTGCCTTAGCCTGCTATGCTAACCCCATTGTGATACTGTAGGATCATCGTGGCGTGACACTTCCTATAGCACTTAGATTGCTTTTGCGCATAAAATCTAAACCGCTTTAGGCCTACATAAAATAAACCCAGCTCAAATATGATTTATAAAGGTTCATAATACATGTATGGGAACTTTGTCTAAACATGTCGATTTCAGCAGGTTTCAGTCACTGGAAGATCCGCTTGGAGGTAAATGGTTGAGAAGCATGAGTTTTAATGTTGAATGATGACAAGGTGTGGATGTAAGTTTTTGAATAAGACTAATACCAATGTGTTCCAAATGGCACCCTATTCCCTATATAGTGCACCTTTTGACGAGAGTCTTATTTTAATTTATTTAACCGGGCTAGTCAATCAAGAAGAAATTCATATTTACAATGATGGCCCGGCATGAGGCAAAAGGCCTCCTATGGGGACGGGGGATTAAAAAAACCAAAACCAGACAACAGCCTGGGACAGGGGAATTACCCCCCCAGGACCTGGTGTCCCTGGATGAGCTCAAAGGACAAACGGTTGAGACAATTAGTTGTTTCTAATAGTCACTAGTTTACGTTGCTTTATGTAAAGAACAGTGTTCTGCTTCACACACAACCCACTGTTTGCCGTTGTAGTTGTGCCGTTGACTTTATCCACATTTTGTTACGTTACAGCCTTATTCTACAATGGATTACATTGTTTTTTCCTCCACAAAACTACACACAATACCCCATAATGACAAAGCAAAAATTGATTTTTAAGAATATTTGGCAAATGTATTTTTTTTTTTAAACTAATAGGACATTTGCATAAGTATTCACACCATTTCCTCTAATTTGTTGAAGCACCTTTTGCAGAGATTACAGCCTTGAGTGTTCTTGGGTATGATGCTACAAGCTTGGCACACCTGTAGTCCCGTGTAGCTCAGTTGGTAGAGCATGGTGTTTGCAATGCCAGGGTTGTGGGTTCGATTCCAATGGGGGGCCAGTATGAAAAATGTATGCACTCACTAACTGTAAGTCGCTCTGGATAAGAGCATCTGCTAAATGACTAAAATTTATTTGGAGTTTCTCCCAATCTTCTCTGCACATCCTCTCAAGCTCTGTCAGGTTGGATGGGGAGTGTTGCTGCACAGATATTTTCAGGTCTCTCCACAGATGTTAGATCGGGGTCAAGTCCGGGCTCTGGCTGGGCCACTCAAGGACATTCAGAGACTTGTCCTGAAGCCACTCCTGCGTTGTCTTGGCTGTGTGCTTAGGGTCGTTGTCCGGTTGGAAGGTGAACCTTTGCCCCAGTCTGAGGTCCTTGGCCCTCTGGAGCAGGTTTTCATCAAGTATTTTTCTGTGCTTTGCGCCGTTCATCTTTCCCTCGATCCTGACTAGTCTCACTGTCCATGCCACTGAAAAACATCCCAGGATGATGCTGCCACCCACGCTTCACCGTAGGGACGGTGACAGGTTTCCTCCAGACATGACGCTTGGCATTCAGGCCAAAGAGTTAAATCTTGATTTCATCAGACCAGAGAATCTTGTTTCTCATGGTTTGAGAGTCTTTAGGTGCCTTTTGGCAAACTCCAAGTGGGCTGTCATGCCTTTTACTGAGGAGTGGCTTCCGTCTGGCCACTAACATAAAGGCCTGATTGGTGGAGTGCTGCAGAGATGGTTGTCGTTCTGGAAAGTTCTCCACAGTGGAAATCTAGTGCTCTGTCAGAGTGACCATTGGGTTCTTGGTCACCTCCCTGACCAAGGCCCTTCTCCCCCGATTGCTCAGTTTGGCCGGGCGGCCAGCTCTAGGAAGTCTTGGTGGTTCCAAACGTATTCCATTTAAGAATGATGGAGACCACTGTGTTCTTGGGGTCCTTCAATGCTGCAGAAAGGTTTTGGTACCCTTCCCCAGATCTGTGCCTCGACACAATCCTGTCTCGGAGCTCTACAGACAATTCCTTCGACCTCATGGCTTGGTTTTTGCTCTGACATGCACTGTCAACTGTGGGACCTGATATAGACAGGTGTGTGCCTTTCCAAATCATGTCCAATCATTTGAATTTACGACAGGTGGACTCCCATCAAGTTGTAGAAACATCTCAAGGATGATCAATGGAAACAGGATGCACCTTAACTCAATTACGAGTCTCATAGCAAAGGGGCTGAATACTTATTTAAATAAGGTATTTCTGTATTTTATATTTAATACATTTAACCACGCCAGCCCAGGACCTCCACATCTGGCTTCTTCACCTGCGGGATCGTCTGAGACCAGACACACAGCTGATGAAACTGTGGGTTTGCTCAACTGAAGAATTTCTGCACAATCTGTCAGAAATGGTCTCCAGGAAGCTCATTTGCGTGCTCATCGACCTCACCAGGGTCTTGACCTGGGATGCTCTGGATCTACGTATACAACAGCATGTTCCAGTTCCTGCCAATATCCAGCAACTTCACACAGCCATTGAAGAGGAGTGGGACAACATTCCACAGGCCACAATCAACAGCCTGATCAACTCTATGTGAAGGAGATGTGTCCGATGTATTTCCAGTCATTTGAAATCCATAGATTAGTGCCTAATTTAATTGACTGATTTTCTTAGTTCATGTAACTCAGTAAAATGTTAAATGGTTGCATGTTGCATTTTTTATTTGTGTAACTGTCAGGTAAACATTAATACAGATCCTCGAAATGCGGTGAAACTGGGTAACATGCATGTGAGTGGTTTCCCCATTTAACAGCCGTTTGTGACGTGAACTGTTACTGACAGCCTGCTCTCAATGCCTCTCTCCCCCTGTCCCTTCTCTCTCACTCTGCCGGTCCCTTCTCTCTCACTCTGCCGGTCCCTTCTCTCTCACTCTGCCGGTCCCTTCTCTCTCACTCTGCCGGTCCCTTCTCTCTCAACTCTGCCGGTCCCTTCTCTCTCACTCTGCCGGTCCCTTCTCTCTCAACTCTGCCGGTCCCTTCTCTCTCACTCTCTCTCTCTGCCGGTGCCGGTCCCTCTTCTAATCCTACCTTGATCTCTCCCTCTTTCCAGTCACCCCACCACCTGTTGCAGTGCAGCAGAGCTCATGTCAGTGCTCTTCTTCCATACGATGCGTTACAAAGCCACTGACCCACGCAACCAGTGCAACGACCGCTTCGTACTTTCCAAGGTGAGGCACGCACACGCTCTACTAGGGCTGACCCCATTTAGTCAACTGGTCGATTGTTTGGTCCACAGATTTCTTTGGTCGAGCAGTAGCAAAACACTTTTTTTAAAGGAACTCAGTCGGCTTTAAACGTACTCTTGAAAGTTGTAATAGTAGAATGCACAAGGTGCAATATCTAAATTGGGTAGTACATCATCAGTTCCCCCTGTCATGTTAGTCATTGCAGACCTTAGAGCTATTTATAACTTGTCAGACATGTCCAGATCAACTAGCCCATGTCTGCTAGCCCAAATATCACATGAATACACCTTACACATGGCACAATGTATAGAATTGCAAGAAAATTAGCTTTAAAACTGCAAAATGTTCTTTGCGCCCCATGACAAAATGTATAGAATTGCAGTAAATAATCTTTAAACCTGCAAAATTCTCTCCACCAACGAGGGGTGTGAACAATTTGTCATGAACAGTGCTTGTGCCCATAGAAATAGACGTGGTGATTCTGAAACATCTGTGCGCTGTTGAATTGGCGCCTTTTCCTAGACCATGTTGCTGTGTGCATAATAGCAAAGTTAACCAGCATATTGGTGTTGAGAACAATGTGGCGGAGGCAGCAGCAGAATGAGGTGAGGAAACAGCCCTTGCTTTAATTGTCTTAAGAAAAGTGAGGAGACACATCCTGGTTGTTTGTTTTAATAGCCTACTGATTCCATGCGCACCCAACCTCACACAACCGTGCCGGATAAACAATTTCACATTCGGATGTTTTCAGTCTTTGCTGTAATAAAGGCTTTACACGTGTTTTCTTTTCTCTCTCGTTAGACAGCCTCGCTGGTATTTTTTTGTTGTTGTATGAAACATGTATGAACTCACTAACTGTAAGTCGCTCTGGATAAGAGCGTCTGCTAAATGACTAAAATGTAAATTTCCATTTGTCTTAATTATTTCATCAAACAGTGCACTTTAAAGCATCAGACAAGCTCAGTGCATATAGTTGATTTGATTAAAACGCATATATATGGAAAAATACACATTTTTAATCGATTGGTCGGAAGAACAAACCACTGTCGGTCGACCAAGATTTTTTTTCTTCCAGACAGCCCTGAGTTCTACGCGCTCACTGGTCACACTGGTCACCTGTCGGTTCTTTCAATTGCACTACATTTCCCAAGCGCCTTCGGAGTCTTGGACTGTGCTCTGATTGGCTGTTGTGTTCTTCCAGGGTCATGCTGCACCAATCCTGTACGCTGCCTGGGCAGAGGCGGGCTTTGTGAAGGAGGCTGATCTGATTAACCTGAGGAAGATAGACTCTGACCTGGAGGGTCACCCCACACCCGTAAGTAACCTCTAACCCCTATATGACCTGTAAGTAACCTTTAACCCCACTGTTAAAAGTTACTTCCAACGGAAGAGTTGATCATTAGGCACAAAACAGAAAACTGACAAACAGGGGAGGAACTACCTGGACTTGTCAATAAGAAACAATATTTTAACTGTAAGTCGCTCTGGATAAGAGCGTCTGCTAAATGACGTAAATGTAAATGAAACATTTTCAGTTGCGTGCCCTAATGAACATTGCCCAGCTCAGGTTTGACTGTTGACTCGAACTCCAACTGTTCTACAGAAACTGGAGTTTGTTGACGTGGCAACGGGGTCTCTGGGACAGGGTCTGGGGGCCGCCTGTGGGATGGCTTACACCGGGAAACACTTCGACAAGTCCAGGTACAGACACACACCCTCCGAAGCCATAACGCTATCCCACAAAGCACCTCTCATCCAGCAGTGGTGTCCTAGGAAGGTTAATGGTCTCTCAGACAGGTGTTGAGTTATAAACAGCCTTGTGTTCAGCAGTTTCTCTCACTACGGTCTCTCTCTCTCTCACCCACTATGGTCTCTCTCTCTCTCTCACTACGGTCGGTCTCTCTCACTACGGTCTCTCTCTCTCACACTACGGTCTCTCTCTCGCTGTCTATTTGTGTCTCGGTGTTGTGTGAAAGACACAAACGAAACGTAACAATGGGAAGCATAGAAATAGTGCACAAAGAAACAGATCTTCTGCTTCTTAGACTTGTTTCAATGAGAAGGAAATGTGTTATAAATCTGTCAGTGGAAAAAAGTTACATATTGTAGCTTTTAAAATGAAAATATGTGTGTCCCTAGTTACCGTGTGTACTGTATGCTGGGTGATGGGGAGTGTTCGGAGGGGGCTGTCTGGGAAGCCATGGCGTTTGGTTCCTACTACGACCTGGATAACCTGGTGGCTATTATAGACGCTAACCGCCTGGGACAGAGTGAAGCTGCTCCTCTCAAACACGACATGGACGTGTACCGCAGACGCTGCGAAGCATTCGGGTCAGTACCCTCTCCTCTCTCCACCTGTCTTCCAAATAACTCTTCCTCAATCAGTAGTCTGATCTTTTTCCTCTTCCTCATCACAACTCCTGCTAGCGTCCCCCATGCTAGTTTCTGATAGGGTCCCCCCCTGTCCCCCATGCTGGTTTCTGACAGGGTCCCCCCCTGTCCCCCATGCTGTTTTCTGCTAGGGTCCCCCCCTGTCCCCCATGCTAGATTCTGCTAGGGTCTCCCCCCTGTCCCCATGCTAGATTCTGCTAGGGTCCCCCATGCTAGATTCTGCTAGGGTCTCCCATGCTCTCATCTCCCCTCTTACTTGAAGTCTTCAACTCTTAAATTAATCTGGTTGATACTGAACATGGTTGGTTAATATTTCCTGTTAATGTGACCCTGCCTCACTCTGAAATGTGATGACAATGTATTTCTGTCTAGGTGAAACACCCATGTGTGGTGTGTGTAACCCGGTCTTTCTCCATGTGTAGGTGGAACACGTATGTGGTGGATGGTCATGACGTTGAGGAGCTGTGTAAAGCTCTGTGGCAGGCCCAGCAGGTCAAGGGGAAACCCACTATGATCATAGCCAAGACCTTCAAGGGCAGAGGACTCAAAGGTAGGAGATGGAGGGGGACTGGGAGGGCCCTTTCTGGGGTGTATTAACTAGGGACTAAACACAATTAAACGGGCCGAAACCAGGAGGGACTGACCGCGACTTGTCCAATAAGAAATGCTGGTTGTGCACTGCTCCTCTACTTATGAATACCCCCAGTACTGCTCCTCCACTCATGAATACCCCCAGTACTGCTCCTCTACTAATGAATACCCCCAGTACTGCTCCTCTACTAATGAATACCCCCAGTACTGCTCCTCCACTAATGAATACCCCCAGTACTGCTCCTCCACTAATGAATAGCCCCAGTACTGCTCCTCTACTAATGAATACCCCCAGTACTGCTCCTCCACTAATGAATAGCCCCAGTACTGCTCCTCTACTAATGAATACCCCCAGTACTGCTCCTCTACTAATGAATACCCCCAGTACTGCTCCTCTACTAATGAATACCCCCAGTACTGCTCCTCCACTAATGAATACCCCCAGTACTGCTCCTCTACTAATGAATACCCCCAGTACTGCTCCTCCACTAATGAATACCCCCAGTACTGCTCCTCCACTAATGAATACCCCCAGTACTGCTCCTCCACTCATGAATACCCCCAGTACTGCTCCTCCACTCTTGAATACCCCCAGTACTGCTCCTCTACTAATGAATACCCCCAGTACTGCTCCTCCACTAATGAATACCCCCAGTACTGCTCCTCTACTAATGAATACCCCCAGTACTGCTCCTCCACTAATGAATACCCCCAGTACTGCTCCTCTACTAATGAATAGCCCCAGTACTGCTCCTCCACTAATGAATAGCCCCAGTACTGCTCCTCTACTAATGAATAGCCCCAGTACTGCTCCTCATCTGTTTTTTAAAAAGACTGATGGCTCTAGTTGCAACAATCTAATGATCTCTGGATAATGTAGAGCTAAATAATATGAACTATCTCCTGATGCAATAAATGACCTGTTGCTCTCTCTCCCTCCCTCCAGGCATAGAGAACATGGATAACTGGCACGGTAAGCCCATGCCGAAGGACCGGGCCGAGGAGGCGATTAAAGACTTGGAGGCTCAGATTCAGAACCCCAACAAGACCATCTGCCCCGAGCTACCTAACGAAGATACCGCCCCCGCTGACCTCTCACCTATCACCCTGCCCAGCCCTCCCAATTACAAGATCGGAGACAAGGTACACGCACCGCTGACCTTTCGCTTAGCCTGTCTGACTACGAGATCAGGAACACATGTTGAACTTTAGCTGTAGGCTTCTGGGTAACACGTTCCTGTCCTCCTTTCACCACTCTATTTCTCCCCCCAGGTTGCCACTCGTAAGGCGTATGGTGTGGCCCTGGCTAAACTGGGTCAGTCCAGTCCGAGGGTGGTGGCTCTGGACGCTGACATGAAGAACTCTACCTTCTCTGAGATGTTCCACAAGGCCTACCCTGAACGCTTCATCGAGTGCTTCATCGCTGAACAGAACATGGTGAGAGGAGAGGGTGGAACAAAATATGGCCTAACCCTGAGGGGTGAGTAGAGGCCCTGAATGAACTGGACACCCCGAAGGCCTTCTCAAAAGTACCCACGTGTCCTGATTGGAACTTAAGGCCACATAACATTGGTACTAGACAACAGGATCGACAGTAGCAGCAGCATGTGTTGGGGTGGAAGTGAGTGTGTGTGTGTGTGTGGGTACCGTCAGTGTGTGTGCACAGTTGGTGCAAAAAGGGTCAATGCAGGTAGTCCAGGTAGCCATTAGATTAGCTATTTAGCAGTCTATGGGTAGAAGTCTTATGGCTTGGGGGTAGAAGCTGTTCAGGGTCCTGTTGGTTCCAGACTTGGTGCACTGGTACCGCTTCCCGGTGCGGTCGCACATAAGTCTGGCTTTGGTGGCTGGAGTCTTTTGACATTTTTTGGGGCCTTCCTTTAACACTTCCTGGTATAGAGGTCCTGAATGACAGGGAGCTCGGGCCAAGCAGTTGCCATACCAAGCAGTTGCCATACCAAGCAGTGATTCAGCCAGTCAAGATGCTCTCGATGGTGCAGCTGTAGACCTTTTTGAGGATCTGAGGGCCCATGCCAAATCTTTTCAGCCTCCTGAGGGGGAAGATTGCGTTATCTGTTGGGGTGGTATGTGAATTGGAGTGGGTCTAGGGTGATGGTGTTGACGTGAGCCATGACCAGCCTTTCAAAGCATATTATGGTTACAGATATGAGCGCTACGGGGCGATAGTCATTTAGACAGGTTACCTTGGCGTTCTTGGGCACAGGGACTATGGTGGTCTGCTTGAAACATGTAGGTATTACAGACTCCGTCAGGGAAAGGTTGAAAATGTCAGTTAAGACTCCTGCCAGCTGGCCAGCGCATGCTCAGTGTACTCATCCTGGTAATCTGTTTTAAGGAATACTGTGAAACATCTTTCCACTATTAGTGCCAGAGATATTGCCTTTTTTTCTGAAATGACAATGGAACAATAAAAATCCTATATGTAGCACCTTTTTTAAATATTATTTTTGTCTGTTTAGGTGAGCGTGGCGATCGGCTGTGCCACACGGGACCGCACTGTGGCGTTCGCCAGCACCTTCGCTGCCTTCCTGTCCCGGGCCTACGACCATATCAGAATGGCTGCAGTCTCCGAGTCTAACATCAACCTGGCTGGGTCACACTGTGGAGTCTCCATCGGTCAGTACTGTGTGTGTGTCAGTCTTGTGCCCTTGACTGAGTCCAATCTCACTGATTCTCCCTCCACCAATCAAACTCTACTCCCCTTCCTTCAACAACCAATCACACTCCAATTCCCGTTCCCTTGGACATACTGCCAAATTCTCTAAAATGACGGAGGTGGCTTATGGTAGAGAAATGAACATTAATTCTCAGGCAACAGCTCTCGTGGACATTCCACCATGCAAAATAAAATTGAGAAAATGAATCCATAATTGTACTGTGTAATGAGGTGCAAATGTGTATCGGACTACTTCAGCAGAGGTAGCTATCACTCCCAGCCACGTTGTAATCTTCGAGTCCTTGAACATTTTGGTCGTTTATATACAATTTATCCACCACTAGACGAACATTCTGCTTCTCTGCTCTGAGCCTTTTGAAAGTGGGGTACAGGGCGCGTCGTCTCTCCACTATTTCATGGGGAAATTGTTCATTAATAGAGAATGGGGTGTTCTTCAGTTCCCTGCCCTGTTGGCAATCTTCATTTTGTAGTGAGTTAGCATAGCTACGATCGGACGGGGCCTCCCCTCCACCACTGAAACGGTCAGCCCTTTGACAATCTATTGTATTCCCCTGTTCGTCCGTCATCTTGAGATTACGTTTCATGAACACCTTGACTTTATCCTCTGTTGACTGATAGTTTTCCTCCTCCTTTATTCCCATTATAACAATATTATTCTTCATACTTCTGCACTTTAGATCATGTAATGTAATTAGTCTTTCATTGTTTTATAATAATAATATATCATACTGTAGTGTCTTAGGGAGCCACGGTAGTTGTTTTATCATACCGTAGTGTCTTAGGGAGCCACGGTAGTTGTTTTATCATACCGTAGTGTCTTAGGGAGCCACGGTATTTGTTTTATCATACCGTAGTGTCTTAGGGAGCCACGGTATTTGTTTTATCATACCGTAGTGTCTTAGGGAGCCACGGTAGTTGTTTTATCATACCGTAGTGTCTTAGGGAGCCACGGTAGTTGTTTTATCATACCGTAGTGTCTTAGGGAGGCCACGGTAGTTGTTTTATCATACCGTAGTGTCTTAGGGAGCCACGGTAGTTGTTTTATCATACCGTAGTGTCTTAGGGAGCCACGGTAGTTGTTTTATCATACCGTAGTGTCTTAGGGAGCCATGGTAGTTGTTTTATCATACCGTAGTGTCTTAGGGAGCCACGGTAGTTGTTTTATCATACCGTAGTGTCTTAGGGAGCCACGGTAGTTGTTTTATCATACCGTAGTGTCTTAGGGAGGCCACGGTAGTTGTTTTATCATACCGTAGTGTCTTAGGGAGGCCACGGTAGTTGTTTTATCATACTGTAGTGTCTTAGGGAGTCCACGGTAGTTGTTTTATCATACTGTAGTGTCTTAGGGAGTCCACGGTAGTTGTTTTATCATACCGTAGTGTCTTAGGGAGGCCACGGTAGTTGTTTTATCATACCGTAGTGTCTTAGGGAGGGCCCCGGTAGTTGTTTTATCATACCGTAGTGTCTTAGGGAGCCATGGTAGTTGTTTTATCATACCGTAGTGTCTTAGGGAGCCACAGTATTTTTTTCATAACTATTTTCCACTTGTATTTTTTTCATTCTTAACCGTAATTCTTGACCATGTTTTTAATCAACCTCAGTAGCCTAGGATAGCCACGCAGTTTTTAATGCTCACTCATGCTTTAAGCAAAGTGTTTAATCTTCTTGGAGACTATTGTTTATAACAACCGTAGTCTCCACAGGTAATTTTGATTTTAACCGGGCTTGGGCTGCCCGGTATGTTTCTCGAGGTCTGAGCCACGGTATTTTTTCACCTTCGATGGCCCCGTGTTTTAATATTTCTTAGCGGATCAGGAAGTGTTATCTAAATACTCAGGTTCTTATTGATCCAGAGTTTTGTTTCACAGGTTTATGAGCCACTCAATTTTACGACGTGCTTAGGAGCCACGGTAGTGTTATGACCGTAGTGTCTCAAGCCCCGAGTGTGTCTTTAGACATACCTGATTTTCCTAGATGGCCACGATGAGTTATTCCTAGTTCTTTGCAGTATTGTTTTAAACATACCGTATTTTCTGGGGCATGATTAGTGTGTTTTCAATATAGTGTTTCCTCTGTAGTTGTTTTATCATATTTTCGGGCAAGTATGAAGCCTGTGCAGAAGCCACTGGTAGTGTTAAATACCCGATGTACTTAGGGAAAAACACTCATTGTTTTATTCATATAAGTCTTATGGACACGGTATTTTTTACAAGTATGTCTTAGGGAATTGGTATCTGTTTTAATCATACCTGAGTGTCTTAGGGAGCCACCATACTTGCAAAGCTCATTTTCCCAACTTGGTATTGGGTTCCATTCCTTTATTTAATGTAATTATTCTGTTTTAAGCCATTAATCCCCCAGTTTATGCCAGCAATAGATCCAGGCAGTTTTATGTCATCACTTGAAGATCGCTGTTTTAATTTCTGGAGACATAGTTATAAAAACGTCCCCCTCCAATGTTACATTTTGAATTTTAAACGGCGGCTTCCCCTCAGTTTCGCTCGGAGCTCGATGAACGGTCTTCTCTTGTTCACTTCGATGTAGCTGATTTTATTTTTCGCGCGTATCAAAATGCTGATCAATAAATAGCTCAAGGTTCTCTCTATTATCCAGAGTCTTTTGTTTCACAGTTATCAGCTAATCAATTTTACGTGCCTACCACGCTGCAACCTGCCACGTCATCAAGCCCCGATGCTGTCTTCGTAGGACAGATAGCTCTGACTTTCTTCCATAGTGCCAACGATGAAGTTATTCATGTTCTTAGCTTTGTTTTGAAAATAGAGGTAAAAATATTCTGGGGATGATTATGTGCATCTTCAATAAGTGTTCCTCTTTAGTGTATTTGACTATATGTCGCAAGTAAAAGCCTTGGCAAAAGCCTCTGGAAGGTTAAAATAACCCTGAGACTTAGAAAAAGGAAAGTATGACATCTTCCTATGAATTTTATTTGCCCATATAAAGTCTTATGACAGAGTATACTTTTTTAAAGAATGTCTTCGACGGGGTAATTTGGTATTACTGAAAATAAATGCAACAACTTGGGGAGCCATTCCAGACTTGGGGAGCCATTCCAGACTTGGGGAGCCATTCCAGACTTGGGGAGCCATTCCATTCTAGAGCTTTATTCTACCTGTAAATTTTATGGGAAGATTATTCCATTTAATTAAATCTGCTTTCATATTAAGTAATGGAATGAATTTTGTATTTGTCACTAATAATGATCCTAAGTATTGAATGTTTTGTGGTTCACTTGAAGGATCGCTGACTTCTTCTTCTTATTATTTCATCATTTTCCGCGTAAAAAATATGTATTTAACAAAGGGGGCATTGAGTTTACAATATTGGTCAGGTATATCAGATCATCAATCAATCAATCAATCAATTTTATTTTATATAGCCCTTCTTACATCAGCTAATATCTCGAAGTGCTGTACAGAAACCCAGCCTAAAACCCCAAACAGCTAGTAATGCAGGTGTAGAAGCACGGTGGCTAGGAAAAACTCCCTAGAAAGGCGAAAACCTAGGAAGAAACCTAGAGAGGAACCAGGCTATGAGGGGTGGCCAGTCCTCTTCTGGCTGTGCCGGTTGGAGATTATAACAGAACCATGCCAAGATGTTCAAAAATGTTCATAAGTGACAAGCATGGTCAAATAATAATCAGGAATAAATCTCAGTTGGCTTTTCATAGCCGATCATTAAGAGTTTGAAAACAGCAGGTCTGGGACAGGTAGGGGTTCCATAACCGCAGGCAGAACAGTTGAAACTGGAATAGCAGCAAGGCCAGGCGGACTGGGGACAGCAAGGAGTCACCACGGCCGGTAGTCCCAACGTATGGTCCTAGGGCTCAAGTCTCTCAGTTGGCTTTTCATAGCCGATCATTAAGAGTTGAAAACAGCAGGTCTGGGACAGGTAGGGGTTTCGTAGCCGCAGGCAGAACAGTTGAAACTGGAATAGCAGCAAGGCCAGGCGGACTGGGGACAGCAAGGTGTCATCATCTGCAAGTAAGTTTAGTTGATATTCGTGTTTACTGATGCCTGTTATGTGTTACTTCCTGTCCCCAGGTGAGGATGGCCCCTCCCAGATGGCATTGGAGGACATTGCCATGTTTCGCGCTATCCCAACATGCACTGTGTTCTACCCCAGCGACGGCGTCTCCACTGAGAGGTCTGTGGAGCTGGCTGCCAACACCAAGGTCAGGATGTTATTTATATGGGGGATAACATGTGGAGCTGGCTGCTAACACCAAGGTCAGGATGTTATTTATATGGGGGATAACATGTGGAGCTGGCTGCTAACACCAAGGTCAGGATGTTATTTATATGGAGGATAACATGTGGAGCTGGCTGCTAACACCAAGGTCAGGATGTTATTTATATGGAGGATAACATGTGGAGCTGGCTGCTAACACCAAGGTCAGGATGTTATTTATATGGGGGATAACATGTGGAGCTGGCTGCTAACACCAAGGTCAGGATGTTATTTATATGGGGGATAACATGTGGAGCTGGCTGCTAACACCAAGGTCAGGATGTTATTTATATGGAGGATAACATGTGGAGCTGGCTGCTAACACCAAGGTCAGGATGTTATTTATATGGGGGATAACATGTGGAGCTGGCTGCTAACACCAAGGTCAGGATGTTATTTATATGGAGGATAACATGTGGAGCTGGCTGCTAACACCAAGGTCAGGATGTTATTTATATGGGGGATAACATGTGGAGCTGGCTGCTAACACCAAGGTCAGGATGTTATTTATATGGGGGATAACATGTGGAGCTGGCTGCTAACACCAAGGTCAGGATGTTATTTATATGGGGGATAACATGTGGAGCTGGCTGCTAACACCAAGGTCAGGATGTTATTTATATGGGGGATAACATCTTCCCAGCTCTGCAGAGACAGAATCATTAGATCATTTGTTTTGGTTCTGTCCATTTTGTAGCTTGTTTTTGGACACAGGTCCAGGAATGGCTAAAGGATTGCAATATTTACCTGGAGCTAACCCTGCAGATAGCACTACTGGGTGATCTGAAAAGTCATAGTCAATCGATCAATAATATAATAATACTTTTAGCAAAAATGTTTGTGAATTAAAAATAATCTGTAGAAGCAATGAGAATAGAAAGGTTCAGAACTTTTGTAAAACATCACAGTACAGTTGAAATATATATGGCAAATAGAAATCCTATATGGATGGTGTTAAGAGATAGATGGGAGGTATTGAATAGAGTTGCAGGATGGGACTAATAACTAATAACAAGATAACTAATAATGTAAGCATACTGTGTCCATAATAAGTATATAGGTTGTATGTTGGGAGCTTTTGGGAAAAGAGCACAGTTAGAAAGATATGGAATATAGAAGCAAACCGGATGGACATCATGAAAATGATCGGAGGAAGTTCAGGAGTAAAAACAAACAAAATATAATTATTGTAGAATAAAATGTGTATATAGTATGTATGGGCTGGAAGTAGAGGCCAAAGCGTTGTTGGTCACTAGTTTACTCCGATTGGGGAAGGGTTGGAAAGGAAAGGGAAATACAATCTAAATAAGGATGTGTGTGTATAAAAAATTAAACCCACCAAGGTCAGAACCTATTTTTATTCCTAAATGGCACCATAGTCACTCTTTAGTGCACTATTTTAGTCACACTATCACTAATTTCAACCAGGCCCCACTGCTAAGCCATAGCCTATTAGTATGACGGAGCCCGAGGGGGGACTAGCGGTATGACGGAGCCCGAGGGGGGACTAGCGGTATGACGGCGCCCGAGGGGGGACTAGCGGTATGACGGCGCCCGAGGGGGGACTAGCGGAATGACGGCGCCCGAGGGGGGACTAGCGGTATGACGGCGCCCGAGGGGGACTAGCGGTATGACGGAGCCCGAGGGGGGACTAGCGGTATGACGGAGCCCGAGGGGGGACTAGCGGTGTGACGGAGCCCGAGGGGGGACTAGCGGTATGACGGAGCCCGAGGGGGGACTAGCGGTATGACGGAGCCCGAGGGGGACTAGCGGTATGACGGAGCCCGAGGGGGGACTAGCGGTATGAACTAAGCCTTGTGTGTTCCAGGGTATCTGTTTTAAACTAAGCCTTGTGTGTTCCAGGGTATCTGTTTTATCCGACTCACCAGACCAGAACTGAAGGTTGTCTACGACCCCAAAGAGAAGTTTGAGGTGGGCGTGGCCAAGGTGTTGCGTCAGTCCGACAGCGACAAGGTGACTGTGATCGGAGCTGGAGTGACTCTGCATGAAGCCCTGACTGCTGCTGACGAACTGGCCAGCGAGGGTAAGAGCTCCCCCTGGTGGCCTGGTCCTGGATTCACAAAACCTGTGACAGAAGCCAGAGCTTACCCACGATGTTGCACAACGATTTTAAGTCAAAAAGTCATTGTTCTAGTCGTATGAGACATTTGAGATTGAAGTGGGAACTTTTTTTTATATAAGCCAAATTGTGATATTTTTCCACTAATTGGTCTCTTGATGTATTAGATCTTTCTGAATGACCCAGTAGTTAACTAAGTCACTGTAGTAAAACAATAGCAAATGCTATTTGATGAGGAAGAATTATGGCTCATTAGTGTTGTCTTTGTGTACCGTGGTGTCTTGTTTGTGTGTAGGAGTGAACATCCGTGTGATTGACCCGTTCACCATCAAGCCCCTGGATGCCGCCACCATCGTATCGAGCGCCCGCGCCACCGGAGGGAGAATCATCACCGTAGAGGACCACTACAGAGAGGGTGGGGACACGTGCTGCACATTGGCCCTCTGAGAGAGGAACAGCTTAGCCCTCTGAATCGCTCTCTGTGTGTTCTAACTCCACCCCCTCTGTCACCAGGTGGTCTGGGGGAGGCGGTGCTGTCCGCGGTGGGGGAGGAGCCTGGTATCATGGTGACGCGCCTGGCGGTGAACCGCATACCCCGGAGTGGAAAACCTCAGGAGCTCCTGGACCTGTACGGCATCAGCGCCAAACACATCGCCAATGCCGTGCGCCAGACCTTCGCTAACTGAGACAGCCTATGGACCCTGGTCTAAAGTAGTGCACTATGTAGAGAATAGGGTGATTTTTATTTTGGACGTACAACTCTTCTCTGCTCTCAAACCACTTATCCCCCCCCTCTGACGCCTCCACACCTTAACCAGCTCCACCTCTTTCTCTGCAGTCTGAGGGGTGGAACAACGTACACCTCTTTTCTGAAGCTTTCACCACCCTACCTTCTCCCCTTTATAGCTGCCCCCCCCCTCCACCACCATCCATCACGAGTGTTAACCCAAGCAGCGCTCTCTAGCATCCCATCCATCACTAGTGTTAACCCAAGCAGCGCTCTCTAGCATCCCATCCATCACTAGTGTTAACCCAAGCAGCGCTCTCTAGCATCCCATCTATCACGAGTGTTAACCCAAGCAGCGCTCTCTAGCATCCCATCCATCACTAGTGTTAACCCAAGCAGCGCTCTCTAGCATCCCATCCATCACGAGTGTTAACCCAAGCAGCGCTCTCTAGCATCCCATCCATCACGAGTGTTAACCCAAGCAGCGCTCTCTAGCATCCCATCTATCACGAGTGTTAACCCAAGCAGCGCTCTCTAGCATCCCATCTATCACGAGTGTTAACCCAAGCAGCGCTCTCTAGCATCCCATTTATCACTAGTGTTAACCCAAGCAGCGCTCTCTAGCATCCCATCCATCACGAGTGTTAACCCAAGCAGCGCTCTCTAGCATCCCATCTATCACGAGTTTTAACCCAAGCAGCGCTCTCTAGCATTCCATCTATCACGAGTGTTAACCCAAGCAGCACTCTCTAGCATCCCATCTATCACGAGTGTTAACCCAAGCAGCGCTCTCTAGCATCCCATCTATCACGAGTGTTAACCCAAGCAGCGCTCTCTAGCATCCCATCTATCACGAGTGTTAACCCAAGCAGCGCTCTCTAGCATCCCATCTATCACTAGTGTTAACCCAAGCAGCGCTCTCTAGCATCCCATCCATCACGAGTGTTAACCCAAGCAGCGCTCTCTAGCATCCCATCCATCACGAGTGTTAACCCAAGCAGCGCTCTCTAGCATCCCATCTATCACGAGTGTTAACCCAAGCAGCGCTCTCTAGCATCCCATCTATCACTAGTGTTAACCCATCCAGCGCTCTCTAGCATCCCATCTATCACTAGTGTTAACCCAAGCAGCGCTCTCTAGCATCCCATCTATCACCAGAGAGAAGGGGGGGGCTTCAGTGAGTGTGTTGAGGAGAGTCTTAACCATACCTGAAGGGTAATATGCATTGTAGTGTTTAATCTACCCATGAATCCTAATGTAGCCTCATTCTACTGAACCCTGTAAAGGTCCTCTGGTTGAGTTATTTTTCCTGCTAAACTGCAATCCTCCTTTTGCTAACTGATGTAATTGAACGGTTAGTTGCCAACTAAAGCAGCTCTGTAGGTGTGTCCTCTATGGCACCCTAGTCCCTTTAAAGTGCACTACTTCTGACCAGAGCCCCATGGGACACTATATAGGGGCCATTTGGGACGAACCCTAAGTGTAGCGAGGTTGTTTGAACTTGTCGACGTTTACTCTCCGTCCAGATGATATTGACTGTTTAACCTTTTAAGTCTGTTGATCAGTTTCAAAGGAAGATGGGTGTGTATTTTTGACAGATTTCTTTGTACCTGTATCACTCTTCATTCCAGCTGTTTACATCTCTAATCCTGTTCTAATCGTTCCAAATCACCTGCTTGATCATTCTGTCTCACTCGGTTTCTCTATAGCACTGTTACAGGCACACCGCCATCTTGGTTCCTCTGTGAGCCGGAATGGCGTCTAACCACTGCTTGTTGCTGGTCACTGAAACTGATGTGGGAAATTCACATTTGATGGACCAGAGTTGTAATGACTCACAAAAGAGCTAAACTTCAACTGCTATATAGATATATAAATTAATGACTGTGTTCTCCTGGGCTGGGTGTTGGTGATGTTCTGGCCTGTTGGTACCTGACCGTATCTCCTCAACGTGTTACTGATGCTCCCAGGCGCTCTGTCAACTAATGGTTGGTTTGCATCGCTGAAATAAAAACTTGACCCAATGTTACTTGTCCGGTGTCTGTTTTTAATGTAGTTACTTGGACTGAGGTTTTAGGGATGTTGAATTTGATCCAAAATAAATAATGCATGTGGACACCTTCAAATGTGTGGATTCGGCCACACCTGTTGCTGACCGGTGTATAAAATCGCGCACACAGCCATGCAATCTCCATAGACAAACATTGGCAGTAGAATGGCCTTACTGAAGAGCTCAGTGACTTCAAGTCAGTTTGTGACATTTCTGCCCTGCTAGAGCTGCCCCGGTCAACTAAGTGCTGTTATTGTGGAAAGGTCTAGGAGCAACGACGACTGAGCGACGTGGTTGGCCACTCCGACGTGGTTGGCCACTCCAGCTCAGAACGGGACCGCTTTAGTGCGTAAAGAATAGTCTGTCCACTCACTACCGAGTTCCAAACTGCCTCGACGCAACGTCAGCACAATAACTGTTCGTTGGGAGCTTCATGAAATGGATTTCCATGGCCGAGCAGCCGCACACAATCCCTAAGATCACCATGTGCAATGCCAAGCGTCGGCTGGAGTGGTGTAAAGCTCGCAGCCATTGGACTCTGGAGCGATGAATCACGCTTCATCTGGCAGTCAGGACGGATTAAACTTGGTTTGGTGGATGCCAGGAGAACGCTACCTGCCCGAATGCATAGTGCCAACTAAGGTTTGGTAGAGGAGGAATAATGGTCCGGAGCTTTACAGCATACAATGACTCTGTGCTTCCAACTGTGGCAACAGTTTGGGGAAGGCCCTTTCCTGTTTCAGCATGACAATTATTGTCCCCAGCACAAGGTGCACCTGTGTAATGATAATGCTGTTTAATCAGCTTCTTGATATGCTACACCTGTCAGTTGGATGGATTATCATGATAAATGCTCACTAACAGGGATGTAAACAGATGTGTGTCAACATTTGAAAGAAATAAGCTTTTTGTGCGTATGGAACATTTCTGGGATCTTTTATTTCAGCTCATGAAACATGGGACCAACACTTTACATGTTGGTTGCGTTTATATTTTTGTTCAGTATAACATAGCTTTACAGGTTATCTGACATGGTCAGCCTTAGATTCTGACTGTTAAACCTCAGCAGTGTTAAAAGTCCACTTTCTGTAGTCAGGGTGACAGATCTCCATGAACGCAACTGGACTGCCACACACTGTATAACTAGAACCATAGGCTACAACACCATGAAGGATGTTCTGGTTATTCATCATACCTCCACCAGATTCACCCTGAGGAAGATGGGTTTTGTCAATTTGATTGCATTTTTATTTTGTAAGATAACTATCCCTAAAAGCTGTTCAATGACCAAACTGCATTAACTATAACTAGTAATGTAGAGATTTTTTTAAAAATAACATTCATAAACTGGGCATACCCCACAGACCTCATCATCATAGTAATATATACCAATATATTCACGGCACCAAATAATTAAAAGAATGAAGGTCTACAGTAGCCTCAGCATTCTGTAGGGTAGCACCATGGTGTAGCCGGAGGACAGCTAGTTTCTGTCCTCCTCTGGGTACATTGACTTCAATACAAAACCTAGGAGGCTCATGGTTTCCACCCCCTTCCATAGACTTACACAGTAATTATGACAACTTCCGGAGGACGTCCTCCAACCTATCAGAGCTCTTGCAGCATTAACTGACATGTTGTCCACCCCAATCAGATACTGTACTGAAAGCATAAGCTACAGTTAACTAGCACTGCAGTGCATAACATGTGGTGAGTGGTTGACTCAAAGACAGAGAAAGATAACAGTTGAACAGTTTTGAACAAATTAATTTCTTTAAAATTGAAGGAGAAGCGAGAGAGATACAGTACCTATATTTTGTTGTATTATCATTTTTTCACTTAGCCAGCGAATGCAGTTAGCTAGTTTAGGCTACTCAAACACCCAGCTCAAACAGAAAGGGATACTATGTTAGCTTGCTGGTTATGGCTATCCAACACTGGAACTCTAAAGGGATGCTATGTTAGCTAGCTGGTTATGGCTATCCAACACTGGAACTCTAAAGGGATACTATGTTAGCTTGCTGGTTATGGCTATCCAACACTGGAACTCTAAAGGGATACTATGTTAGCTTGCTGGTTATGGCTATCCAACACTGGAACTCTAAAGGGATGCTATGTTAGCTTGCTGGTTATGGCTATCCAACACTGGAACTCTAAAGGGATGCTATGTTAGCTAGCTGGTTATGGCTATCCAACACTGGAACTCTAAAGGGATGCTATGTTAGCTTGCTGGTTATGGCTATCCAACACTGGAACTCTAAAGGGATGCTATGTTAGCTAGCTGGCTATGGCTATCCAACACTGGAACTCTAAAGGGATACTATGTTAGCTAGCTGGTTATGGCTATCCAACACTGGAACTCTAAAGGGATACTATGTTAGCTAGCTGGTTATGACTATCCAACACTGGAACTCTAAAGGGATGCTATGTTAGCTAGCTGGTTATGACTATCCAACACTGGAACTCTAAAGGGATGCTATGTTAGCTAGCTGGTTATGGCTATCCAACACTGGAACTCTAAAGGGATGCTATGTTAGCTAGCTAGCTATGGCTATCCAACACTGGAACTCTAAAGGGATGCTATGTTAGCTAGCTGGTTATGGCTATCCAACACTGGAACTCTAAAGGGATGCTATGTTAGCTTGCTGGCTATGACTATCCAACACTGGAACTCTTCCAAGTCAAGGTAAGCATTTGGTTTTATTAATTTATTGCCACCGGGGGCCGCCGGTGTAACTGCTAAACTGCTTGCTAACTACACTGTACTGCATGATTGTAGCGGATTTACTAACGCGTTCTAGTAGTTATGTTGACTAGCTATGACGTTAGCTAATATGGTGACAATGATGTAGGCTGTGTGTAGCGGTTATGATATGAAGGTTTGGCTTGGAATGTTTTTTTTCACCTGGTCACAGACAGCTGATGTGTTGTGCACTGAAGTC